CCAATAATAAAAAATAGGCCATTAGTAACAGTAAGTTTTTTGTTTTTTGTGTCGGCCAAATGTAAAAAGGTCAAGTGGTAAAGTAAGTGTCAGCCATTTTGGCCAAAGATGTAATGTTTTTGTGTATAAATAGAGGGCTTTCCCTCATAATAAAATCATCCCTCTTTCAAATACATCTTTCTCTCACTCTGAATTCTTTTAATTCCGCTTCCATTGACAAAGGTATTATTCACACAAACAAAATAAAAAATTTGAACTGGCACCCCTCTCACTGTTTTCAGATGACTCACAATACTCTTCCATGATTTCTGGAGAAAGAGAAAAGAGAAACGATAAAGAAAAAACACAAACAAATCAACTATATTTTCTCTTCTGCCTTGGACCTCTTTGAAACTCTAAGATCAGCAAGCAGAGGTTTAGGAAGGTCAAGCAAAACATCTCGAGAGCATACATTAGATGGTGCTGAAGATCGCTTTAATATCTCAAATAAGGGAGCACCAGCTGATGTTGTTCCTGCAGCAGCATTTTTACCTTGACTAATTGATTTGGCCTGAAAGCTTCCAAACTTAGTTGTACTATTCCTGTTTCGAAGGTTTTCTTTCACCACCTGAAACAAAGATTGAATATGTCCTTACAAACCAATATCAATTTTATAGTATTAAATGGATAACAACCACACAAAAGCAATCCATGATATGATTTCTTACAGTATTTTAAGTTATTGAATATGCATTTTCAATTAATGCTCATATCTTGTTTATTAACTTCTGGGGACGTTCTATTTCTTACTAGGAGAAAAGTCAAATATCCTCCAGATAGGCATCTTCTTACTAGGAGAAAAGTCAAATATCCTCCAGATAGGCATACTTATACCACAGGAAATTCTCATCTACCTAGATTCTCACTGTATATAGACATGGAATAATATAGCATATGCTAGAGTTGGACTATATGACGATAGTAGTTGAGGAGCAGAGACATGGATAGAAGGGAGGGTCTTATCAAATGTGAATAATAATAATAATAATAACAGTAATAATAATAATAATAATAATGGAGGAACATCAGCAGCACAACAACAGGTAAGTCAGGTCTCATTCCCCAATCATCTGATGAAAATAAAAAGATCAAGAGTCCAACCATGAAATCAAAAACATATCTCAGTTAGAACTTAGAAGCATTACAAAACTACATATTAGTTACTATATGGGTGATGGGATGCACAAATTTGAAGCAACTATGAAGATTTACCATATCTGAAGAATCCTCTGACATCGACACTGAGCTTCGGCTATTGCTGTCATCCCGTCCAAAGATGAAAGAACGAACTACAGTTGAACTTTGTTTATGGGATGATGGAAGATGATTTGTAACTCGTCCAAGAAAAGAGGACTACAGAATAAAACAATCAGCAGATGTACGCATATTTTTAGTCATACAATGTCTAAACAACGAATAGAGATAAAAAGAAATAATGAGGAAAAAGAAAAAGAGCTATGCAATAGTTGCACCATAATAGAACTTGAATATAACTGGGGGAAGAAAAGTGGTGCCCAACTGCAAGGCCTTAGTGTACCAAATGGTACTTGTGCAGTTGTGCTAGGATGCAAAAAATATGAAAATATATTCCCCAGATACAGCTGCACCAACATGCTATTATCTGGCAAGGATAGAATGACATTTAGGTCCATAGTAAATCACTTCTCAAATTCCAAATCAGTAAATGGATACAAAAATAAGCTAACTTTTTGTAAGAGTAGAGTCCAATCAAATGTGATTCTAAGAGTTTAAGTGAATGTTTCTTGATAGCTTTTTATTAGTGGATAAATTACACCCAACCTAAGTTTCATGTTTCTAGTTACAAAAGTAAATTAAGGGGTGTTTGGATGTTTTTTTCAAGTATCTTACAAAGTTAAAAGTCATAAGTTGAGAATATCCAACTTTTGGCTTTTAGCTTATTTGTACTTTTTCAGTCTTAAAAGAATTGCTTAGAAGCTAAGTTGCTTAGACTCCCTAAAAATGTTGCCGTACTGGTGTCGGATCCATAAAAAATGCACTACTTTTAATGGATTCAACACACACTTTCGTCTTTCCAAACATCTCAAAAAGTAAAATAAAATATATTTTTAAAAAAAGAGGGTACTTGAAATAAGCCAATCCAAACACTCACTAAGACAATTTTTACCTTCAAAGAGCTTTTTTTCTTTTGATCCCCTAGCACTGTATCAAAGAACGCTGCAAAGTTGCAACAGCAATGAAATGTAAGGAAATAATGCTAACAACTAAAACATAATAATACAAGTACTTCACCATTCTTTTAAAAGAATCATACTTAAACAAGTAGTTATAAATGTTGGGATAACACCTACACGATGCTTTTGGTTTTCTCTTATCCGGCACAGTATTAAGCTTCTTTATTAGTCCAAATATCTCACTGGAACTTTCATCCTCAATAGGCGACGCTACAGTTGTAACCTCCTGATTTGTGTTTAGTAAAGCTGAGTAAGTTATCAAACAAAATTAAAGACAATGTTTGTAAAGCAAAGAATATAACACAAGGTTAATGTGATGTGTCAGTGTGTCAAATCTAACATTGCTAACTCACAGGGTGATAAAGAATGCGCTGCTTGACAACCCTCTTTTCAGTTTCCTCGTCTTCATCAGATAAGAATATGTCATCTTTATCCACAAACATCTGGAATATTATTTGCTTAGCTTTTTTTGAACTCAACCGAGTAGAACTCTTAGGTACTGCATCCATGTCAGCGATGCCATTGACCTCTTCTTCACACTCTTCGCATTCTGGTTCATCATCAACCGACATCGTCTCTTTTTGTTGTACACCACATTTTAACCGTTGCAGCAAATTTTCAGTTCCAGCTGCATCCTGCTGCTCAAGCCACTTTTGATGAAGTTCATTCCGCTTTTCATTATCAATTACCTTTTCTTTGTAATCAGTGGCAATAATATCATGGCGTTCAGCAGAATCATCAATATCATCATCGTCTTCATCATCACCAAACCGGATTAGGTCATTATCACTGTCATCTTCTTCCTCTGCTTCATCATCAACAAATGCTTTAACAGGGTCTCCCTTTGGAGAATTGCTGCCGCTGCCACCTATTATATACGGACTAATATTCTCCTTGTCATTATCCTCCTCATCTGATGAACTTCTGAAAGGGAAATATTTTTATTTTCTGGAGTTAATTGCAATAACTAAGCTGACATATTTTAGCATAAAATAATGACAACAAACAAATAAACTTTTTTGTTTGTGGATATATGATCCTTTGCAAAAGAGAAAATAGGAGCTTTTCCAGCCTAGGTTGCAGTAAAACATTATTAGATTTGCATGCATAGATACTTCCGAACCAATTACCTTTCATCTGGAGGGACAGAATCAAACTTCAAGTTCAAAGCAAGGAGAGACGGTGCCATTACTTCTTCTGAAGGACTAGAGGCCAGGTCATCAAGTATCTCATCCTTACTGCCAGTTGGTTCAGAATCATCAAATAGATCCTGACAAATTGAAAAAGCTCCAGCATTCAGATTTTCTTTGGCTATTTGCAAACCTGGTGTTACTAACAATAGCTCCCTTTTTAATAGAAAAGATAAGAAACTACCTGAGTGTCATCAACAGGAGCTCTAAATACAGCATTGGGCCTTTCATCCAAAGCCTGCAGAGAGATAATAGCAGCAGCACTTAACAATTTGTAATCTTATTCAGTTTCAAACACCAATCTCTAATGTTTCTAGGTTCTACCACAGTTCGAAATGCCATCAATATAGATTGCAGACTTCAGGTAGCATATTGACAATCTTTAACCTGGATGAGGTTGAAAGGTACCTACTCCATTTCAATTCATAGCACAATGATGGCATTAGAGTTTAAAAGGCATGGGTCTCATGTACGCTTATCAAAACTAGATTTGGTTCGAAACAAATCCGATAAAAGTTGGTCTCTTTCCCTGAGTCATGTTAAACAGTTTCTTCCACTAACAATATCCAGCACCCACTTCAGCCAGAGAAGGAACTAGACAAAACCCAATTCAATGTTACATTTCAACAACAGTTACAAACAGCTCGCAAAATTTAAACAAATGAGACATGCTTATCCAAATGATTGAAAAGTAAAGGCCTTAAACAGTTCTCGAGTCACTAATTGAAGTCCAAGTTAAATTATTTTACAGAAACTACCTTCAACTCAATTGTGAAAAGAAACAACACCCAGACCAGACACAAAGCTCAACTCAATGCAGCAATTTCACTCACCATTTCATCAAGAACAATTTCACTGCTTCTCTTTATTGAAGGTACTGAAATTCCATCAATTTTGGAGGCACCTGTAGTCCTGCCCGTTTCTGTGCCGTGTGCATCCACTTCCCCATCCATCTCTATCTCCAGTTTGTCAACTCTCGGCTCTTCAGAGTATGCGCTCTTTGCGTCTACTTCCATTGTCACCTCTCTTGCAGCACTAAATTTGTGAATGGAACTGTTGCTGATTAGCATCGTGGTCCTGCTAGCAAAATAACAATAGAAATGTATAGATAAAAAGTGAGAAACCACAACCTATAAAGATTTTTTTAATAAGACACGTATTTGCTTAAATGCCGACTACTACAGACTTTTTCGTGATTTCAAGCTTCCTTTTCCGAATCTTCTCCAGCACTGAGGATATTGGCTTATGTACAACTGGTACTGGCTTAAATGTTGCATCCTTGCTTTCTGAACAAGTTAGGAAAAAAACGTGAGTTCCATGATGTCTGACACAGTTTGTACAAGTAAACATTTTTCATAAGAAAGAAGATCCGCTTCCTCTATAACAATTTATATGACACTTTATTATAAGAAGCTTCAAAATGATTGACACCATTTTGTTTACATACAACTTTAGCAAGTTCCAAAAATCCAAATTTATTAAATTATTCCAATCTTTCAACTTTAGTACAACTTTTCTTCATCAAGTTAACATTTCAATCATACTTTCAAAAGTTATTCAACTATCACTAACATAATAGAAATGACAAACTAAACCTTCACATCCAATCAAAATTAGCCAGAGGAAAGGAAGTACCAAAAACAGTACATACAGACCTCGCAATAATCGCTGAGTATCAACATGAAGCTGCTGAAGAAATGCTTTATTTTCCTGTACGTCAACAAGTAAACCCAAGAATGTCAAACTAACATATGTACATGCAAGCATTATCACAAATTACAAAGTTGTGTATACATAAATAAACCACAACAACTACGTCTCAAACAAGAGAGATTGAGTATCAAATAATGTTATGTGCTCAACAAACCTTTTCTTCTCTTCTTTTGTTCGAAGCCAGTTCTTTAGACTTCAGTTCTCTATCAAAGTCGCCTTTAGATCTCTTCTTCTTCTTCTTCATTTTCTTTTTGTCATCCAGTTGTAATCCCAATTTCTCTATATTCACTTGGTCAATTCCCCCAATCTCTTCATGAATCTCTTTTGACACATCATCAGATACCAAATCTTCCCCAATTTCTCTATGTTGTTTGCCATGAGACTGCTCATGGTCCTGGCCAAATTCTAGAGATCTTTTAACCTCTTTGCAGTGCTGAACATGTTTGTCATCAAAGTCCTCACTATGCTTCTCATCAGAAAATCTGATGTCAATTTCACGTGATAGGAGTTGAGCAGAATCTTCCGTACTATCACCGCCCTTTTCCTCAGAAACAGATCCAACTTTCATCTCATCTTGTTCTAAAGCTTCCACTTTGGAAAAATCAACCTTAGGAAAGTCAAAGAAGTGAGGATGTTGATTTTTGGAGGCTTTCTTTAAACGTTTGAACCTGGGACGGCGGACCTCCTCCGGCATGTAAAAGGACTGATAATCGTCATCGCTTTCCATGAATCTGTTGGATCAAAATGGGGATGAGAGGATACTGAAGAACAAAAAAGTGGATTTTATTTTATTCAAAGTGGGGAGCGGTAAAGATGGAAATGGGGATTAGGGTTTTAGCGCCAAATAATTCGAATTTTCACCAAAGATAAACCGCCAAATGCCTAAATTTGTAGTTCTGCCGCCTACTCCTGTTTGCAAATAAATACTAATAGGTAATTATATATAGTACATAATTTCGCACCATCGTATAATTATTGGGTCAAGCACAAATCATCTATATTTTTTTAATAAAAGAAGAAAATTACATGATTTTGCATATTTATATAATTATTCGATTAATTACAAATCTTTTATATCCTTCTAATAAAAAAAGAAAATTATAAATTTCACATCTTTATATAATTATTCGATCAATCACAAATTTTCCATATTCTTTTAATAAAAGAAGAAAAAGTGATATGTACATAAAATTTTCAATTTTAAAAATTTAATTTGTGGTTGTTAGTTTTTTTCCAATTTAAATTTTAAATTTTTTTAGAAAATGTCACACGTTGTTAGGATTAGGGATAAACTGTTTCCCTTTTTTTTTAATCTTAAATATAATTAATTGTAGCTTTATTATTTACATGTATCTAACCATTTTAGAACTTACATTCATTTAATTATTTTAAAATTTTATATTTATTTCAAAAACAAATAATTGACATTTTTATTAATTTCTTAAACATAAACGGGTAATTTGTTTAAATGTGAAAGTTGAGAGTTTAAAATTTTTAATTTAAATTAATAAAATTTGTCAATTAAGTTTTTTATTTTAAAAAAAAATCCAAGTAGTTACAACTAAATTTCCATCAAATTTTGCTAAGAGATAAGTTTGAGTTTGTTTTAAATAATATTAAATTATATATTGTAACTAATTCATGCAAAATAAAAGGAAAACAAGCAGAAGATAAATAGGTAACTTCTATTAACTTCCTTATCCACATAAGTAACTTTTTCAAACAATTATCTTTTTCTGATAAACTATAAAACTTCCTTGTCATATCAAATTGACTAAACCACTGTTATTTTGACAAAGAAGGTAAGTATATTTCTTTCATAGATTATCCCTTATATATTTTTCTTATTCAAATTTTAAAATTTATAGGTCACAAGTAAAAAAATTAAAATTTGTTGTCTAATTTTGTTTTCTATTTGATCTGAAATTTTAATTTTCTTTTTGATTTAATATTTCTTCTTGACAATGTTATCTTCTTTTCTAGAAGCTTGAAAAAAAGATTGTTGTCATTTTCTGATATTTACTATTATAAAACTCTTTAAAGTCAAATAAGATGAAAAATTAAATAAATAATATTGTTTTTCAGAAGTGATAAAAGAATAAATAAAAATAATACTTATTATTAAATATAAAACTTAGCAATTGTATCCTTTAAAAAATATTAATTTAATTATTATTTTCATCGTGTTTTGAATGGTAAAGAGTATTATTTACTGTCACACAAAATATAACATTAAGTTTGCAAACTTTTAATATTTAATTTTTAAAATTAAAATATTTTTAAATTTTAATTAAAATCATAAAAGTTATGTAGGAGGTCATATTTTTAGGTGTGACCTTTTTGTAAGTGGATTATTAGTTTTTTTATTTATGAAAAATATGAGTTAATTAAAAGATAAAAATTTAAAACATGTTAGTTGGTTAATGTTATTGTTTTTGTTAATGATATTTCTATTTAGACTTAGATCATAATTATTTAATTATTATTTTTAGTAATAGTCGACTATCTAACGAGTATGAAACTTTTTTTTTCTTTATCTCATTATTCTACTATATTATAAAAGGGAGTTGAAGTGCCAAAGTAGGCAGCAGCAGGTCAACATGCCTGCTTTGGCACTTTGGAGGGCGTTTCAGTATCATGGAGTATTTCACATGTTTTTCCCCCTAAATTTGACTTAACGCAAGCTTTAAAAAAGTATAAAATAATAATTAGATTTATAATTTAAATTAAAAAAATTACATATAAAATGTATTAAATTATATTATAAAAGAGAGTTGAAGTGCCAAAGTAGGCAGCAGGTCAACATGGCTGTTTTGGCACTTTAGAGGGCATTTCAGTATTGTGAAGCATTTCATATGTTTTTTTTCTACATTGGACTAAACACAAGCTTTTAAAAAGATAGAACATAATTTAAATTAAAATTATATATAAAATGTATTAAACATTTATTTTGATTTGTGAGTAGGTAAATATGCATGTAAGATCGTTTTGATTATTTCTAAGTTTTTGTATATATAAAAATCACCTAAAGTTATTATTAATAACAATAATTAAAAGATACATAAAAATATATTCGATTTCTACATAAATTAAAATAAAGAAAGTAACATGTGTCATTTGAAAATGACACAAAAAGTATTATAAATCTCAACAACTTATGTTTTCAAATATTTTCGAAAACATATATAAAAAATTTGGCCGAATCTTAAAATTTTAGTTGTGCCATATAAATTAAAACAAAAGAATAATATGTATTATTTAAAAATTACGTAGGAGATACTATAAATAATAAGTAACAATTTTATGATTGACTTTCATAATGTTATTAATGTCAAATGAATTGAAAAAAAAGAAGATAACATATAATATTTAAAAATTACATGAACGAACTATAAATCAACTAATGAACCACTAATTAAGATATTTAAAAGACGTGTAAAACATGTGGTTGACTTTCAAAATTATGTCTATGTTGCATAAATTAAAATAGAGAAAATAATAAATATTATTTAAAAACGACATTCACATTAACATAGATTGCACTAACTAACAAATTAAATATTCAAAAATTAAAATAGCTCTTCAAATTTTATCTATTATCGCAAAATTAAATAAAAAGTAAAAGAGTAACATATTGCACGGGCTACGATGTCTAGTACTTTTAATACATTTTAAAATATGCATATTTTTAAAGTATAATACAATATTTTTTTATTGGTTATTGAAATTCTTTTCTGTTTGTACTTTTATTTATACTTCAGAAAAGGTCCTAAAATATCCTTAAAGTATTGAAAATAGTATAAAATTTTCCTTCATCCACCTATTGGCTCCAAAATGTACTTTTCATCCATCTATTGGCTCCAAAACACCCTTGTCATCCACCTTTGGATTCAAAATTGACCATTTTTTTAATTATTTAAAATTAAACTCTTTAAATATTTTTTAAATACTTGGCATTCAACTATTGATTATAATTTTAATTAATTAATATAATTTATAAATCAGCCCACTACCCGCTCATTACTAACTTAACCTCACTCAATTAATAATCAAATTACAATATCAAAATCGTCATAAACACTACTAAAACACGATGAAATTATAGATTCCTGAAAATGACATTCAAAATTATCTGAATCCGAATCGAAGCCCCAATTAAATTTAGGTTGAGTCGCTTATTTAGGAGGACACTTTCTTTCAAAATTGAATTAGAAATTTATGATTAAAGGTAAAGAAGTAATACATCTCGAATTAATTCATGCACTTTTTTAAAGTATAATTTTATAAATATTTATGATTTGTTTTAAAACCTTTAATATATTATTTTGAAAAAAAATTACCTATGAAGTAACATCACATAATTGAGACATAAGCATAATTAAGATGAACATAGTTAGACCTTTAAGTTTATCGGTGATTTATATTTCGCCACTTGAATTGTTGATAATTTACTTCTATAATTTTTAAAAACACTCAATTGGTAGTAGCTTGCATTAATAACTTGACGGGTTTATTAAGAGGAATTTAATTAGTAATGGATGGGTAATGGATTGATTTATAAATTATACTAAGTTAAATTATAACAAATAGTTGAGCGCCACGTATTTTAAAAAATATTTAAATAGTTTAAATATAAAACCATTAAATAAGTGGTCAATTTTGAACCAAAAGGTGGATGACAAGGGTATTTTCGACCCAATAGGTGGGTGGGAAAGGTATTTTGGAGCCAATAGGTGGATGAAGGGTAATTTGTACCAATTTCAATACTTAAAGGATATTTTAGGCCCTTTTCCCTTATACTTTTTTATTGATCGAATGTAAAATCATCTTATTACGTAAGATTAAACTAGAAAGGAGTATTTTAAATAGGTTGCAATACATTTGCATACTATATTTTAGTTTCGAGTAGACATTTTTTAAAATATTAGGATTAAATTTGATTAATGAACTTAAATTTATTTAATTAACAAAAATATAGGTTATTTATCTTATTATACTAAAAGAAGGAGAAGATGTTGCAATAATATTTGGTATTTAAAATATATAATTGGGTTAATTTTTAATCACATAAATTCAAAACATTATAAATAATTATATATGCAATTTGTTTACTCAATAATAATTTATAAGTATTATATCAGTTATTTTTAAATTAAAAAATTGTTACATTTTAAAAATATGTGTAACATACAAGTATAATATAATTATAGGAGAAGTGAAAGTTGTACATCTCATCACCACAAAAGAAACAATAATTAATTATTTGTAACGATATTAAATTTGAAACTAAAATTTAAAAAGTTTAAAAGAAATACTTACAACTAATGTGATATAACCATTTTCATTACTTAAAATTAATGTGATATAGCTACTTTTAACATTTTAAGTTTATGATTGAAAAAAATTATATAATAAACAAAATTATATTACTCTTAAAAATATAAAGTTTATATTAAGATATAAAAAATAAACATTAAAAGAAATTGAATAATGTGTTTTAAATTACAAATTTTAAAGTTTTTAAATTTTAATTTAAATAAAACATGAATATAAAATTGAGTAACTAACAATATTACCATGGTTATTTCTTTTTCTAAAATTAATAGGCATTTTCTAAACGTCCTATTACATTTTCACTTTTTCGTAAACTCCGATAACAAAATAACAAAAAATAATAAAACAAAAAATTTTATTACATAAAAAAAATATTTATTTGTATACTCACTAAATATAACTTACTACAATAGAGTAAACCACATATTTTTACTACTTATTATTAAGCTACTACAAGATTCAATTTGCTCCTAGAATGATTTAATTAATTAATTTACCTCCAATTATTATTATAATTAATTTTAAAAATTGTTGAGACAAGT